GATTAAAGGATTAAAAATACTCACAGCGTGAAACTGCCAGCGAAACGCAAAGCACACTGATCAGCAACGCACATGCGCTTCTCATGTGACTCCGTAGTGACGTAGACTGATGACAAGGTAGAATTATTCTTTGCTGATTTTTCAAATGATTATTATGTTACTAAATGTTCGTGTTTTGTCTTCAGGAACTGCTGGTGATTCTCTTTCTCGTCATCGTGGTTACCCCTTTACCACCAAAGATCAGGATAATGACAGCGCGAGCAGTAACTGTGCTGTGGAGTATAAAGGAGCCTGGTGGTACACTGCCTGTCATCATTCCAACCTGAACGGTCAGTATAATCACGGAAAACACTCATCATACGCTGATGGTGTCAACTGGTATCACTGGAAAGGACATTACTACTCCGCCAAGAGAGCTGAGATGAAAATCAGACCAGTGAACTTTTAATAACGTTCTGTTGTATCCTCCTTTACTTGCTAATCAACGCAAATCTGTAATTGGAAAAGAAATGTTTAAGTGACTGATTAATAAAAACTGAAAAATAGGTTTTGTTCGATTATTCATTAGGTTGGTATTTTCTCTGACTTCATTTTCCACTTTGTACTCCTTTCTTTCTTTTCTCTTCGTTCTTTTCTTTCGCTTTCCTAGTCTCGTGTCTTATTATCTTGTTCTCAGTTTTACCTGAAAATAACACTTATAAGAAGGAATGATTTGTCTGTGAGCCAGATTAACACTTCCACTGATTTTAAACATACATTACAAAGGTTTTGAATCCTTCACTTTGACAAAAGTTGTTCAATTTCCAAAACGAAGCACGCATAGATCATCCCTTTGTTCATCTGAGCCATGTTGATCACATTTCTTTTGACTGATTCCGCCATCGGTGATTGCTTCACATTGCTCGCTGTAAGCTCGTTTGAAAATTAAATGAGTCTCTCACTCAGGCTGGAATAGTTATGATTTTTAGCAAAACTGTTTCGTAAAAAGGTAGCTCCAGTGAATGGAAGCAGTTAGGTCAATACGACTCTATGATCAGACTTGTCCCCAGTACGTCCCTTAGAGAAGCGTGCGCGGTAAATAACGGGAGCGTGAGAAGTAATAGGGTGGAGGAAAAAAGAGATTCCCTGTCGTGTTTCTCCTTCCCTTCACCACCCTCGTGGGTACGTACCATCAACGATAAGAAAGGCGATCGGAACTGGGGATGAGAAAGTCTATGAGAAGTGATTCCAGTACCGATGTATGAAAATTAGGACTTAGGAGTTGCAAGCTTGAAATATCGATTATTTTTAGTTATTTTACACACTTTTCTTTCACTTCTTTTTTTATGCAATACTCTATCAACTGAAGGATTTCTTTACTCTCATCACTTGTCTCCTTCGTATTGATATTGTAAGAAGCAAATGAAAATTGATCACACACCGTATTTTAAGTATTAATCATTCTCACTTTTTGGTGCTGGAATCTTCTCTAACGTTCAACAGGGTTGAAACTGGGTTACCATGTAACAGCCGCTCAAAGCTGAACATTGTTTTATTTGATATGATAAATATCTGTAAAAGCAGCCCAGGGTCAAAGAATAAATTACTGACCGCAACACTAAGATGCACTTCACATACAAAAAAAATTGAAAAATATATGTTTTTTTTTGTTTTACTGAAGCCATAAAACGGTTTTATTTCACTAAACGGCTTGTTTTGGTTGCCGACATCTTCTCCAACTAAAACTTAAATTTTAGTTGAAGTGTGAAAAGAGAAAAATACGATTGTGGACATGACCGAGGAACACAATTAAGCCGGCGATTCCACTGGTTGCCTTTTCCTGTTTAGCGGAATCAGATTTAATCACAGTTTTTGAACAACGGTGACGGAAACATTGTTGATCTTGTCTCTGGGTCTTTAGTTCCCCATCGAGAGAAGATGATCAAACTCTCGTCTCCAGTCCTCTGTCTCGTTAGAATCACTCATCTTACTCCACAAGCCTTCCGCAGTTTCCCTCCATATCAGAAATAGTTCACTTAGTCAAATTCTGATTGGCTAATTAATACAGCTTCGCGTAGTACCACTGTTGCTCCGATATGCATTTCTGAATGCGTGTTCGAATGTCGAATACTCATCACGGCTTCCGATATAGATACCGGAGGTATTCGGAACATTGCTGTAGATCGTCGGAAGAGCTGCCGAACTTTGCCAAAGAAATAATTAGAGAATGATAAGTAATAACGTTTAAGTCAGGGACTAGTAAGTGCGGCTAATTTTCTAGTCAAGAACATTCAACTTCATGGAATATTCATTATGGCGGAACTTTAAGGAGAAGTTCTTGATTTGTACTAATCAGGTTAGTAGTCACTGTTTGCACCCATGCTTCACATCTCTTGATTTGGCGGTTTATTTCAGACGTATTTGGTTGATCACAGCAAAATTCCATCACAGCTAAAAATTCTATTATTTCATAGGCTTAGAATTCCTTTAATATCTTCTTTACGAAAAGAAAGAGGTTTACTGATAGCTTCATAATGATCCTCATTCAAACCACTTCCTAAATTATCCTCTTCAAAAGAAAAAGTATTCGACAGCAGGTAATGGAAACACTGAGAATCAACGGAGTGGCAAGTTGATTTTTTAACCTCCTCGACGCGTGGCGAGCAGAGATTCACAGGCGTTTGAAGGCTGAATTCCCATCGTCTGTTCCCAATAAGTCGACATGAGCCTCCTTTGCATCTCAACTGATGAAATTATTATTTGTTATGAGATTTTTAGCGTGGGTAAAAGCTCCACCAAATATGACAACAAGGAAAACCCCTATTAATTTATTTCCACTTGCAATTACTTCTTGTTTTTAGTCGTAAGAAACAAAAACAGTAGCCGACGAAACTATATATTCACTTCACAGCTGAATTGTTTTGAAACATTTCTTTGAGAGCAATCAGCCGCCTAAACAACAAGCAATGCTGATTCGAAATAAAAGAAGAAAAAAGTAGAATCCCTGGCTGTGAAAAAATTCTACATATTGCATAGGTAGGGGCTGTGATAAAGTAGTGCTTGAAATTTGAAACTTTTTCAAACAGATTTTAAAAACCGACCACGAATTTTCGACGATGATTGAACGTCATAATAATGAAATATTTTGTCTAACGCAACTTATTTTGAATTTCACAGTGTTCTTTATCAATATTTATTGGTTAGTAGACTTTCAGAAGAGTCCTTCGTCTTGTTTATTCTTTACCCGCCGCTTCGAGGCCTAAAACGTCGACGTTCGCTTTGCTCGCCTAGCTATCATTCTACCCTGAAACTCATGAGGTCGATTTGTGGCAAGTCATAAGTTTTCTATCATTGAATTCAATGGGCTGCCCTAGGCTAAAGGTAAGTTCTGTTTCTTTGATTTCCGCTGAAAATCTTCAATATGCGTTCTGTAATTAAACATTACTTAGGAAGAAGACGAATTCGTTATTAAACTGCATGCTCGCTCTATCTCATTTTCGAATACAAAATCTAGAGTTATCAGCAAGTCTATTTTACTTGAGGGGCTTAAATCATTAGACACTGTTTCTTCAAGGCTATACTGTTTTGGTTGACGTACTAATCTAAAAATCTGCAGTATCTTTGGAGAAATAACTTATAAACCCGGTGGAACTTGAAAATCCTTGGCGAATGTGATGTCATTTGAATTTCCAAATAATAAACAATTTTCCGTACTATTGTTTAAGA